TATTATTAGTGTCATTTTTTCTTCTTTGACTTGGTATCATTTTTAACATAATCGTTTATTTTATAATTATCATTAACGAAAATTATTATGATATTGTAAAAGGTAAAGCGATGAAATGCTGCAATAAAACTGATGATGATAATATTCATGTAATCATAATAACAATGATTAAGATGATGGTAATAATAACAATAATCGTGATGATAATGATACTGATGATGACAATGATATTGATAATAATGATAATGACAATAATGATAATGATAATGATGACAATGATAGCAACAAAGTAATATTAGTAATTGTAGTAGTAATAGTGGTGGTGGCGTTAGTAACAAAAAGGTGTTAATGACAATAAAAATGATGATAACGATAATAAGAATACCATCAATTAAGATAATGATAATAATCAACATCATAATACTATCAATAGCAATAATAACAGTAATAGTGATGATGATAATAGTAATATTGATGGTAATGATAAATAATATAATAATAACTATGATAAATAATAATAATATTAACATGATGATAATAATAACAATAATAATGATGATAATAATGATAAAATCACAAAAATGATAATGATAATAATAAACTAACAATGATAATAACAATAATGACAATGACACTGATGATTGCAATAATGATAACATAAATGAACAAATTAATGTAATGAAAATGATGATAATAATAATAATAATAATGAGAGTGATGGAAATAAGGAAAATACACTGCTATTAGTAGTGGCAATAGAAATAATAACCCTTCAACAATGAACAAAGGTGAAACGCCAACACCTAAACAAACACTTAAACGGTTTATCAAAAAAAAGGAAAAGAGAAAATCAAGAACGAAGCAAAGCGTAAAGGAAAAAACGAGAACAATTAACGACCGACGAACACTGCCTTTGGCCGGTCGTTCCCCGGTCGTAACGAGGCTGAACGACGACTACAAACGACTCATTGGCTGAACACTAACCTTCAGAACAACAGCTGAGAGAACTCGTCAGGCAGAGGAAGAGGAGAGCAAGACCCTGTGAGCTCGCCATTCTTGGTCGTTTTCTTGAAGAAGGTTGAAGTCCTTTTTTATTTTTTTTCTTTAGTTTTTTTTTCTTTTTTGTCTTCTTATTTGTTTTTGTTTTTTTTCTGGATTTGTTGTGCTCTTATGATATTCAATTCGTGATGGTTTGTGTGTTTTGTCTTTGTATTTCTTAGTTTTCTTTCGTCTTCATTTTCGCTTTGTGAATTCTTTCTGCGTCTTTTCTTTTTTTTCCTTTCTTTTCTTTTCTTTTCTTTTCTTTTTTCCTTCAAGTTCTTCCAAGGAATAAATTTGCGTTCAAGAATTAATCGAGATGTTGAATGTAGCTCTGAGCACTGGTGAGTTTAACGTGGCTCGTGTCTCATGTTTACTTAGTTTTCTGAAAAGGGTGTTTTGATGTTCTCTCTCGTTTGCAATTATTTTCAAAAAGGTTAGCACAAAAAGTGTCTTCTTTCTTTTTTTCTTTCTTTTTATCTGTCTTTTCTTATGACGTTGTTTTCTTCAAGGGAGTGACGTGAAACGACTTGTCCCTTTTCTTCTCTCTCAGAATCACATTTTTTAAGCGAGTATTTCCGCGAGTCCGCTTGTTTAGAAGCTCTTAAAGTTTAAGTCGAGGAGGAACTTTTCAAAAACTAGTCTCTCTCTTCAAGGAAGACTCCAGCAAGAAGTCGAGAATTACTTCAAGCTTGTAAGATTCTTCATCTCTCGTCGACTGAAGTCTCGAAGGCAATCACTGGATCTTCAAATCCATGTGTTCGAGTTCGGAAAAAAATCGTATAGTAAAGCTTCGATCTCTAGCTACGGAATATCACAAAAATCGCCGAACGTGATTCTCTAAAACGTCACAACTGATTTTTAATTACTTGTTTATCACTAATCTCCTGAAGCTTTTAAAGTTAGTATGATTAACCTCCACAAGCTATCTTTTTCTAGCGGTGGTAACGTACACATATCTACGAGAAAAGCGTTGCTGCACTTCATACAGATAATTCCTAACCAACGGAAGAGAATGAGTTGATATGTGCGTGTTATTCTTTCGCATGTCACTTCTCAGTCACATCAACTGCGATAGAAATTGCACATAGAACTGTGATGTATTAGCACATTCAACATTGACTTGCAACACAGATGGTTTGATATGTTTTTGTTTGTTTTTTACAATTTATTTGCAATCAACGTGTAGTAGAAGGGTGTGGATATCCATAAACAAAGAGTCTTATATGATATGCGTTTGTTTTCGTAGATTTGATAGTCGGAGTCCGGAGTTTATGTCTCTCCATAGAATAGTGTTCGTTTTCTTGATTTTATTGCTTGTTTTATCTTAAAAGGATAGTTTGTTTAGTCTGGATTGTACCGAGGTGCAGGCTCTGCTTTATGAACTGATTTTCTCTCTCTCTCTCTCTCTCTCTCTCTCTCTCTCTCCTCTCTCTCTCTCTCTCTCTCTCTCTTCTCTCTC